TGCTCTATGCTCCTCCCCGCCTTCACCAAGCTGCACCTGACCAGCGTGGTGAAGTATGGTCAAACACCCCCCCCCCCTCGACACACACGCGTGGGGGGAGGTCCTCATCCAGCAGTGGATTGGCAATGCGCCTGTTCGCGTGAATGTGTTGATGCGTGTCACGTGTTTTTTGTGTTCTAATTGTGTTTATTTGTTGTGTGTTGTTTATGCCTGATGTGTGTATTGGTCCTTGTGCACGATGCGTTGATTGCGTTCAGTCGGTAAAACGAGCGCCACTTTGTGGTTAGTCGGTCAGTGGTTGTTCTATGGGTTGACTAGTCCCGGCCATAGCAATGAGGAATGTCCCACCACTGCCTCAGGGCTCTGTCACGCCGTGCACCGTGGCGTTTGAGATGTACGTCGCTTTGTGTGTTTTGTGTTGGCTGATTGTATTGTTTACTGATTGTTTACCGATTGTGTTGTTTACTGATTGTTTACCGATTGTGTTGTTTACTGATTGTGTTGTTTACTGATTGTGTTGTTTACCGATTGTGTTGTTTACCGATTGTGTTGTTTACGGATTGTATTGTTTACGGATTGTGTTGTTTACGGATTGTTTACTGATTGTGTTGTTCACTGATTGTGTTGTTTACTGATTGTGAGGAGGGGAGGTCTTCTGCCAAATTATATTTTCCAGTAAGGGGGGCCGACGATTGCTCCTGTGCGTGTACATTCCAAACGATTCATTCGTGGTGTAAATTTTAATATATAAAGAAAAAAACCGTGGCAAATGTGGATCTTGACACCGGTGCACACTTGGCCAACTCTTGCAGAATGACCTCACGGACTCTTTAACGTCCTCTGTGAGTAAAGCACGCGCCGCGGGGCGTTATTTGTTTAATCCACGCAACCCGCGGTAATGACTAGGGCGGCCGCCGAAGGTCGAACCGTGAACCCTCTTGGGCCGCGGCTGATCTCGAGCCCAGGTGAGTAGCCCTTGTTTGTGAGTCGTCTCAATCATTCCCTGCGGCGTTCGTTCGTTAATTCATTAATTCCCAGTGGAGCCGACAACGACAGATCCCGCGACACGTCTGCCTGCGTGCTCTAAGTTCTGCAGTGCACATGGCGGAATCAAGAGCGCAGTTAGAACAAAACCTGTTTCCTGCGGTGATGTGGGGGGGGGGTGACACATATCACTGCGGATCATCCTATAATCCGCGTTAGCTGCGATTTTACTCCTCTTATCCGCGAGGGGTAATAAAGAAAATAAAATCGCGGATAACCCCCTCGCGGATTATTGGATCAGGTTTCCGCGCGGCGACTCCTCTTGTCCGCGATACAACATCGGTGAAAGATTTTAGGAATCCGCTCCGCGTTGTGGGGAAAGTCGCGGAGAGCCATCGCGGATTATTATTCGTAGGAAAGACGTCGCGGGTGAATGGGAAATTTCGCGGCACCCCTGGCAGCTGTCGCGGATGACGACAACAACAATAAGAGTGGCGGATAAATAGTAATAATCTTGAATTAGAGAATTACAAAGATGAAGATCTCCCCCCCGTGAAATCCTTCATAACAGACTGCTGTGGCAAGTGGCCCCATGTCGGCCGGCACGCGAGGTAGCGTGAGCGGCAACCACGCCCGACCCGGCAGCCTTTACCTCCCCAGCTCTACGTGTTAACACAACCCACACACACACACAGCAGAAGGACCATCACGACACGTTGACATATTCGCTGGCCTTGAGCGGGATTCCAACTCGAGGACCGCCGGGTTCGGGGCCACCAGGCCTCTCCACAACACCACATTTAAAACACGCGCTCACACTTTCATATATACACAGTATATATACATACAGTACTGTATACACACATATACACACGAACGCACACGTGTGTATATATACACACAGGAGAGACGATTGTGGGGTAACGGAATTACACGAGACCAATGCAGCAGGGGCGATGGGCGATGCCGATATATTTGACTCCGTTTCGTCTTGAATGTATCGAGTTGCATTAATTATGCGCGCGTGTGTGTATGCGTCTGTGTGTATGCGTGTGTGTGCGCGCGTGTGTATGTGTGCGCGTGTGTGTGTGTGGTGTGTGTATGTGTGTGCGTGCGTGTGTGTATGTGCGTGTGCGTATGTGCGTGTGTGTGTGCGTGTGTGTTCAGCGCACCAAGTCTGCTCTGCAAAAACAATTGTAAACTGTAAAAGCCCTAATTATGAAATCGATAATTACTGCATTTTATTTATGGTGAGGATTCATTTGTTATTTCGTTGCCTTTCCATAGACATCACGGTACACACAAAACTGCATGTACACAATTTAAATACATATTAAATTATATTTACACATATGCCCACATTACAAATACCCCCGTATAGCCTTAACAGACTGTTGGAGCAAGTGCTGTTCGCGACCGTCTATGAAGGCCGGAACGGCACACGAGGGGGTGGGTGGCCAGCACCGACCGCCTTTGTATCCCCAGTAGCGATGTTAACACGCTGCACCAGGTGCTCATTTGAGGCCGGGTCGACCTAGGGGATGCCCGGAACCGGTTCAGATAATCGTCGTGAGGAATCAAACTTGGGTCGATGAGTTCATAGCGCAGCGCGCTAACCCCTACGCTACCGCTCCTCTACACATTGCACACACAAAGATCCCCCGTATAACCTTTAACAGACTGTTGGGGCAAGTGCTGTTAGCGAGCCCCTATGAAGGCTGGCACGGTACACGAGGGGGTGGGTGGCCAGCACCACGCCCGGCCGCCTTTATCTCCCTAGTGGCGAGATAAAGGCGGCCGCACCAGGTACTCATTTGAGGCTGAGTCGACCTAGCGGAGGCCCAGGACCGGTTCAGATAATCGTCACCGGTGTTGGCTGTGAGCGGGAATCGAACGCGGGTCTCCGGGTTCATTTGCGCAGCGCGCTAACCGCTACACTACCGCTCCCCACACACATACACACGCATATACACACACGCATATACACACATATACAAAATATGCGCACGCACAAATATACAAAACACATCATCCATACACAGACAGCCACATTACGCGCTTGTGTGCGTTTACATATATACGTGCATACACGTGCGAGGAGCGGAGGCGTAGTGGTTAGCGCACTGCGCTACCAATACGGCGATCCGATTTCGATTCCTGCTCACGACCAATAAACAACAGCGGCCCTGGGCCCTCCTCTAGGTCGACTCTGCCTTTAAATAAATACCTGGTGCAGTGTATAAAGCATCAGCTACGTGGGGAGATAAAGGCGGCCGGGCGTGGTGCTGTTCACCCAGCCTCTCACGTGGTGCTGCTCACACAGTATATATACACACACACACTATATATACAAACACACACACAGTATATACACACACACAGTATATGCTAAGTATATGTGTGTCTTTGGCATATACAATGGCAGCATAATGCGTAAGCATCGGACACGTTCACGATCATCGTAACAACTCAATGGTGTCCGTCACATTGGCGCGGACGATTTGGTCGCTAGCAGCAATTGCCCCAACAGTCTGTTGAAGGCAATACGGGGGATCTTTGTCTTGTGTTCGACAGGGTGTGTGATATATTATGATCATTAGAAATGTAAAGGCCTTTATCATTCCACTGCTGGATGAAAGTGCTCTCAAAGCTGTCGGTCGGGTGGGGAGCTTATTTGACCATACCTCAACACGTGGGTCGGTTGTGGGGTTGGTAACACGCGGCGAGTGGAGTCGAGAGAAGACGTGTGTGTAACGTGTGTGTGTGTGTAACGTGTATGTAACGCGTGTGTATGTAACGTGTATGTAACGCGTGTGTGTAACGCGCATGTGTGTAAACGCGCGTGTATGTGTGTGTAACGCGTGTGTGTGTAACGTGTGTGTGTAACTCGCGTGTGTAACGCGCGTGTGTGTAACTCGCGTGTGTGTAACTCGCGTGTGTGTAACTCGTGTGTGTAACGCGTGTGTGTGTAACGTGTGTATGTAACTCGTGTGTGTAACGCGTGTGTGTGTAACGTGTGTGTGTAACACGTGTGTGTAACGTGTGTGTAACGCGCGTGTGTGTAACGCGTGTGTGTGTAACTCGCGTGTGTGTAACTCGCGTGTGTGTAACTCGTGTGTGTAACGCGTGTGTGTGTTTAACGTGTGTATGTAACTCGTGTGTGTGTGTAACTCGCGTGTGTGTAACTCGTGTGTGTAACGCGTGTGTGTGTAACGCGCGTGTGTGTAACGAGTGTGTGTGTAACTCGCGTGTGCGTAACTCGCGTGTGCGTAACTCGCGTGCGTAACGAGTGTACGTAACCCGTGTGTGTAACGCGCGTTACACACACGGGGGGAGGTTAATGTATCACCGAATACCGTCCGTGTCTCTGGTACACCGACGGGAGTAAGGGGGCACAGCATTAGGTACAGGGCAGCACTTGGCCACAGAGAGCTGCAGATGTACACTGGATGTGGTGTGCCGGCTGCGGAGATATCCCCGCGGTGGCGCGCGTCGCGCACGCGATTTGTGGACGAGCGACGCACGCGGTCGCGAACGGGCACGGACGGAAGCGCAGCCTCGAGCAAGAGAATGAAGAGTGCACAAAGAAGTATGGCTAGACGGGAGCGTGCAGACAGGGAGAGGGCGGCGCTGGGTGGGGTAAGCGGGAAGCGTAGATCAGAGGGCAGACGCAGGGTGGCGAGTTCAGAAGCGGCCCCGGGCCATGCGCGTCGTGACCCCCCACGGAACGGCGCTGGGTGGCGGTGGAGGAGAGTGGCGGGGTGGCAGTCGAGGTACGGAACGCGGTCCGAAAGTCCGCCCCGCCACGGGGGAGATGGAGCGGTGAAATGATCTGTGGCCAGCTACTGGGCGAGTTATTATTGTTATTATTATTGTTACACATCGCGTGATCGTGAGAGGTGACAGCGGTGGCGGCGGCGGCGGCTTTGTCCGGGCCTTCATCCAGCAGCGGACCGACCATGGTTGTTGTGACTGCTGGCGATGATGGCGAGGGCTCGTGTGATCTCGTGCCTCACCGCTTAGCCGCTCCTTCACGAATCTCCGGTTCGACTCCATCCACGGAAAGGGCAGGGGGATGCCGTGCCCGAGGGGACCCCCGGGGATCCCCGCGGCGAGGGGCCGGTGCGCCGGCACCCGGATGAGCCCGGCCCCCGCGCCCTGGACCCCGAAGTGGCACCCAGGGGGCATTCCGGGGTGGTGCTGCTGCTGGGAGGGGTGGTGCGGGAACGCGGGGCTGTAGGGGCCGAACGCGGGGGGCGAGAGGGCCCCGTATCCCCCCGCCGCTCCGTGGACCATCGGGCTCAGCAGCAGCTCGGCGTGGTCGCAGGGACCCCGCGCCGTAGGGGTCGGGTCCCCTCCTGTCGGGGTACCCCCTCCCAGGATCTGGTCGATGCCGAAGCTGATGGGTTCTGGCTGCGGGGACGCGGGACTCAGGTGGCTCAGGGATTCCGACTCCATGGCCCCCTAGGGGAGAGGGGACGCGCCCGGCTCGGGGACACGAGAAGTCCGGGGAGCCCGGGGGTTCAGGGGTTCAGGGGTTCAGGGGTCCGGCTCAGGGGTGAAAGGGTCCTGGACGGCCCGAAAGACAGAATCGGAGGTCCGAGGTCCGGCGCCTCGAGCGTTAGGGGACTCGGGATCAGAGGATGTGCGGAATCTACGGCACGGCAACGGAGAGGGGTCCAGGGGGGTTGTTTCGGGGGGTCCGGAGGACTCAGGGGCTCGGGGTCCGGGTCCCCGTCCGCCGGGGCCTCCCTCGCCCTGTCCCGGTCTCAGGGTCTCGCTGCTCCGCGCGCTCTCAGTCCCCGGGAAAAAGTGATACGCGCGTACCCCTTGCGCGTGCACGAGTGTGGGGGGAGGGGATAGTCGAGGGGGGGGGGGGCGGGGGGACAGGCCCCTCCCCCCCCCGTCTCCCGCCCCCATTCTCCCCCCACTCCTCGGGTTAAGAGGCCCCCATTGGCTCCTCGTGCACCCCCCCTCCCGTTACCGCCCCTCCCCCCCGCCCCTCCTCGTGCTCGGGAGTTTTCATTTTGATCATCAACGGCGACGCGACTCCTCATTCATTAGGAGCGGCGCGCGCGCGCGCGTAGCCCCTCCCCTCCCCCGCTAACGAGCCCGCAGCCCCTCCCCCCACATCCACCTGCGCGGGTCCCAGGTGAGACGCGCGCACGGAGAAGCGAGGTCTGGAGTGCCCCCCGCGAACCTCGCACAATTAGCACCCCGCCGCCCCCCACTCCCTCCAGGGGCCCCCCTCCCCACCCTCACCAAACCCCTAGCGCCCCCCCCCCCACCACGCGCTTTCACCTCCCGGGGTCCCGTGCCCCCCCCTCTCTTTGCTCGTCCCCTACCCCGCCCCCCGCGTCTATTTATTAAAGCGGCACGTGATGGATCGCCGCTATAATGTGGATATTATGCGGATTAATCATCTTAAAGGCGCGGGAAGCGGTGACAGCCCCCCCCCCCCCCGCTCCGCCCCCTTTTCCCCCAAACACCCCCCCCCACACTATTCGCGTGCACGCGCATTCACGCACGCGACACCTGGCGCACACGTGGACGCGCGCGCGTGCGTCCGCATGCGTCCGCGTGCGTCCGCGTGCGTCCGCGTGCATCTCCGTGCGCGTGTGGGGAGCGGTCGTGTCGTGCGCTGCGCTTACGAACCCGGCGACCCTGAGTTCGATTCCCGCTCACGGCCCAACGAAGGTGATGAAATATCTGGAACCGATCCTGGGCCTCCCCCTATGTCAACTCAGCCGTAAATGAGTACCCTGGTGCCGTGTGAAATCGTCGTCACTTGGGGAGACAAAGGCCGCCGGGCGTGGTTCTCGCCAGGCAGCCCCTTGTGTGCTACTCGCTCACAGCACTTGCCCCAACAGTCCGTGAAGGCTATACTGTGGATCGTTGTCTTTGTAGCTCGAACGTGCGCGTGACGTTAGGTCCGTGTACACGCGGGTGTGTGCGCTTGTACTGTGTGCGTACATACGGAATATTTATTCATTTATTGGGAGCGGTGGTGCAGCTGTTAGCGCACTGCACTACAAATCCGGCAACGTGAGTTCGAGTTTCGTTCCAAGGGTAGCATCGGGGGGGAGTGATAATCTGATCCGGTCCTGGTTCTCTAACCAGCGTGGTGAAGTATAGTCAGCCCCCACACACACACACCGTGTTGGAGGGAGGCCTTCATCCAGCAGTGGATTCAATGTCACTCCGCCAAGGCGGGCCTCGTGCATTCTCTATCAGATCATTGCCCTGTTCAGTTGATCATTCATATAACGGGCGTCAACACACGTGTACTGTACGATATACATAACTTACACACATTAACACACGTGTACTGTACGATATACATAACTTACACACATTAACACACGTGTACTGTACGATATACATAACTTACACACATTAACACACGTGCACTGTACGATATACATAACTTACACACACACATTAACACAAACAAACATTACCACAAAAACAAAGACACAAAATCCCCCCATTAACAGACTGCAAGTGATGTTAGCGAGCAGCACCACGCCCGGCCGCCTTACTACACACCGCACCAGGTACTCATTTGGGGCTGAGTCCACTTAGGGGACAATCGTCACCGGTGTTGGCCAGGTAGCGCGCAAACCACTCTAACACATACACACACCCCCAAACACATCAACATATACACATCAACATAAACACATCAACATAAACACATCAACATCAACATATACACATCAACATAAACATATACACATCAATAAACACACACATTTGTAAACACAAACACACACAATAAACATACGTACGTAACCAACCACACGCACGCAAACAGTGCACACACTCACAGATGTAGGCTACACACATTTATTATAATATAAGATAAAGGTCACCTGCATAGCCTTTAAGAGCAAGTGCTCTGAGCGAGGGGTGTTGGTGTGACCGTCACGCCCAGCCCCCTTTCCCGAGACGATCTTTTTACACAATCGCACCAGAGAACTCGTTTAAGGCTGAGTCGACCTACGGGAAGGGTGCCAGGACACCGTTCAAATATTGGCAACCGTGAGCGGGAATCGAACTCGGGTCGCCGCGTTCCGTAGCGCAGTGCGCTAACCGCTCCGCCACCGCTCCACACAACATTACATAGAACGAAGACGAAGACACGCATAGACACACATAGATATACCGAGAACGCGCGCGCACATCGGTACAGAGTGGACATGAATTTCATAAACACAAGCATTGTGCTCGTACATAAATCGTCCGCATCAATTTTTTATTTCAGCGGACACAACGCGTGTAGATACATCGACTTGCACACACAGTCAGTGCAAAACACACATACACACAGTGTGTGTACAACACACATACACAGTGTGTGTACAACACACATACACACAGTCAGTGCACAACACACATACACAGTGTGTGTACAACACTCACACAGTCTGTGTACAACACACATACACAGTGCGTACACACACACAGTCAGTGCAAAACACACATACACAGTGTGTGTACAACACTCATACACAGTCTGTGTACAACACACATACACAGTCTGTGTACAACACACATACACAGTCTGTGTACAACACACATACACAGTGCGTACACACACACAGTCAGTGCACAACACACATACACAGTGTGTGTACAACACTCACACAGTCTGTGTACAACACACATACACACCGTGTGAACAGCACACACTCACACAGTACGCACACACACACACATACACACCGTGTGAACAGCACACACTCACACAGTACGTACACATATACACACCGTGTAAACAGCACACACACTCACACAGTACGGACACACACATACACACACAGTACGTACACACACATACCGTGTGCACAGCACACACACTCACACAGTACGTACACACACACATACACACCGTGTGCACAGCACACACACTCACACAGCACGTACACACATACAGTGTGTAGATCCCACACACACTCACATAGCACGTACACACACATACGCAGTGTGCACAATACGCACACTCATACAGCACGTACACACACACACGTACACACACAGCGTGTAGGACGAATACACAATGCTGCTTGCCTGCCTGATGATGCTGGTTGTAACTCTCAGCGAAGAGTCGCCCCTCGTGTCAATGTTGTGAGATCGCTCTCCATCACCCCGGTGGTGCTGAACAGTACTAGGCTGGGGCGTTTGTTCGCCACGCGATAACTTTGTTAATTGGCTGTGTCGGGTGGAGGATGCTTTACGACACACATTTTATCTTCGCGATCTGGCCCTAAAACATGAATCATGCTCCTCTGTTGAAGGAGCGCAGACCGCTGCGGTTTACCCAGTCCTGTGCAAACCAGAGTCGTCTCTACACACTACATTACTGTATACATCACTATGATCAGTGCTGTGTAGATCACTATGATCAGTACTGTGTAGATCACTATGATCAGTGCTGTGTAGATCACTATGATCAGTACTGTATAGATCATTATGATCAGTACTGTGTAGATCACTATGATCAGTGCTGTGTAGATCACTATGATCAGTACTGTATAGATCACTGTGATCAGTGCTGTGTAGATCACTATGATCAGTACTGTATAGATCACTATGATCAGTACTGTGTAGATCACTATGATCAGTACTGTATAGATCACTATGATCAGTGCTGTGTAGATCACTATGATCAGTACTGTGTAGATCACTATGATCAGTGCTGTGTAGATCACTATGATCAGTATTGTATAGATCACTATGATCAGTACTGTATAGATCACTGATCAGTGCTGTATAGATCACTATGATCAGTACTGTATAGATCACTATGATCAGTGCTGTGTAGATCACTATGATCAGTGCTGTGTAGATCACTATGATCAGTGCTGTGTAGATCACTATGATCAGTACTGTGTAGATCACTATGATCAGTGCTGTGTAGATCACTATGATCAGTACTGTATAGATCACTGTGATCAGTGCTGTGTAGATCACTATGATCAGTACTGTGTAGACCAGAGTGACCCACCCAGTTCCACGACTCAACTTGCAGTGCATTGACCGTGGCGCGTTTCCTCGCGGTTCATGTCGAGGAATTCTCTGGAAACTCTTGGGGCTTGAACAGCGAATCGATGACGCCGAGCAGGAGAAGCGACGTTAACACTCTTGTGATTGGAGTGGCACCCCCATTATATACTGGACTCCTAGAGTACTCACACGACAACAGGCAAAGATCTCCCGTGTAGCCTTAAACAGATTATCGGGGAAAGTGCTGCAAGCGAGTTAATGTACTTGTGAAGGCCGGAACGACACACACGACCGGCCGCCTTTGTCTCCCCAGTGCTGATGTTTACACATCGGACCAGGGTACTCGTTTTTACGACTGAGTCGACCTAGGGGAGGGCCTAGCAACGGTTCAAGATATTCGTCACCGGGAATAGAGCTCGGGGCCCCGGGTGTGCTGCATAATGCTCTAAGCACTCCGCCACCACTATTCACGACACACACATAGACACAACAACAGCTCCCATTCGCCACTACGCTGCGGTGACGTCAGCACGGCGCTTGTACCAGGCTAGGTGCACTTTGAGGCCAACGTACATACTGTAAACGAAGACAAAGGTCCCCCGTATAGCCTCTAACAGGCTGTTGGGGCAAGTGCTGTTAGCGAGCACCTATGGAGGCCGGAACGGTACATGAGGGGGTGGGTGGCCAGCACCACGCCCGACCGCCTTTGTCTCCCCAGTGGCGATGTGTTTTTTACACACCGCACCAGGTACTCATTTGAGGCTGAGTCGACCTAGGGGAGGCCCAGGAT